AGTTTGTCGAGGGCATGTATTAGTAAATCGTTGTTGTATGTGTTGTGTTGATGCAGAGTTCGTTGACAATTTATTTATCTATTGTTCTATTGCTTCTCGACTTTGGGGGCTGGCTTGTTCTTTTTTTGGAATTACATGGTTGCAGCCAAACGGGGTTATGGACATGTTGTGGAGTTGAAGGGGGCCCTGGGTTGGGGCGGTGTCGGCGGCGGGTGTGGTCATTGGTGTCTTTTTGTTTGATGTGGTTGGTTTGGCGAGAAAGAAACAAGAGAATTTTCCAAGAAATTGAGCGTTTGGTGTTGTGGCGTTGTGGCTGGAGGGTCAGTTCCTAGTTACCTTGTATAGTTGGTGAGAGTATAAAGTTGGTCCGGATCTTTTTTTCTTTCTTAGATTTTTTAGATGATATAATTGGTTAGCCGAGCTTTGTTTCCTTCTATTGGTTGTTTTGCTATAAAAAAAAATGAATAAATAATTGGTGCGTATAGCACTATTGTTTATATATACATATATTATATGCAAGGCTTTGAACTTTTTTTATAATAATAGGAATCAAATCCTAATTACTCTAGGTGTGTGCTAATAGAGAAAAAATATTAGTGGAAATAGACCTTGTCAATTCTTTCAAACAAGCAATCTGAAAATAGAAAAATTAGAGTTGTCCCCAATAGGAAAGTAAGAATTCTAGATTTAAATATCTTAGTCAAAATTTTATAAAATTATAAAATTGAAATATAAGGGGCATGTTTAGTAATTTGCTTAAAAATTTCTAACATCTTGATTGAATTATTGGATTTGGACAGCTTTGAGAACTCGCTAGAATTAAATTAAGTTACAGCTTTGAGACTCTTAAAATACGGTATCATTTTTTTAGAACGAAACTGCCATATAATATTAATATTATGCTACTTAGGTGACTTTTTGATTTTTTTGATTATTTTAGCATGAGCTAAAAAGTTTAGTTTGGGAAGGGTTTTTTGATTTTTTGACTTTTTTGACTCTTTTTGTGAGAGAAAAGTGTAATGATTATGAGTTGGATGTGATGTTTTGTTTGTTGTGACTAAAATAGTCTAATTTATCTTTTGTGACTAAAATAGCCAAAAAAGCTTCCAATCCACCTTCCCAAACGGTGCCTTAGAGATAGTTATAGAATTTGTCAGTTCATGCTGGTTGGACTATATTTCTGCCTATAGTAATACAAACATAGTTCAAGTTCTTAGCATAGTTTATAATATCATGCAAAATAGTAATAATCTTCCAATCAGCTTCCTTCTTTTCGTCTGGAGCATCCTCACCAAGACCAAACAATCGGTTTGCACTGAGATACATGTCATTTTCTGCTGCACCGCCCATCTAATCACATCTAGGCATGCATTCGCTTCAGCCAACAACAGATTATGTAGTCATGTCTTTGCAATAGCTGCTTGTTTGATCGGTTGCATGTTGTGATCCAAACATTTGTCATCTCCAATAAATTTAGCACTATGAGTTGAGTTGGGTAGATTGGAATTAAAATAGTTCCAAAAAAATAAAATTAGCATTTTAATTTAATAAGATAAAATGTTACATTTAAAATATAATCATTTATTTTTTCTCTCACAAAAGTCAAAAGAGCCAAAAAATTCATTTCAATCGAGACTTTTTAATCTCAAATTTATCTCGTTTGGCAACATGTTTTAGTCGAATAGCCTAAAAGTCACTATAATTTGTCATATCATTCTTTATTTTTTTGTATATCTTTTCGTAAAAAATTAAACAAATTATTAAAATAGTCTATTCCCAAATGAGGTTTAGGGTTCGTTTGGGATGTGGGTTGACTTTTTAGTTATTTTAGTCTGGTGCTAAAAAATCTTGTTTAGGATAGTTTTTTTTGGTTTTTTTTTACTTTTGTGAGAAAAAAAATAAAATGATTATGATTTGAATGTGACATTTTGTCTTATTAGGCTAAAAGTCTATTTTGTCTTTTTGTAACTATTTTAGCCATAAAACTCCATTTTAACTTATGCCAAACAAAGGCTTACTTAAAAAGTTAAAAAATTAACTCACATCCCAAACAATCCTTAATAACATGAGTAATGCTAGAGATCTAAAAAATTCTACCAAAATTTTTACTAATGCTGTGTTTGGTTGGGGGATTTGGTGAGGGATTTGAAAAGGGAAATGAAAAAGGTAGGTAAAATGTGAATAAAATATGTATATATTTCACATAGTTTCACACACCTTTTCCATTTTCCTTTCCAAATCCCCCAACTAAACACACCATAAATGTTTTACGTGAGTGTAAAATCTACACAATGTGAGTTTCATGTGAGTCTTACACCATGTGAGATATTTAATAAAAATTTTAATAGAATTTTTAAGATTTATAACATTTTTGTAATAATATTTTCACCAAATGATTCATATGGGCCCAACAATAATCTCGTTGATGGCGTGTGATTGACATCCCAACGAACAGCGGACCATTATTAAATACCATTTTATGATGCTATAGTATAATATAATATATTTACAAAAATGCTAGAGGCCCCAAAAATTTTACCAAATGTCTCACATGGGTGTGGGACCCACATGGGACTCACATTGTGTGGGTCCCACACCCATGTGAGACATTTGGTAAAACTTTTGGTAGAATATTTGGGGTCTCTAGCATTACTCATATATTTAAACTGACCTTTATATACTATTTTTTGATTTTTTTTAAAAAAAATATTTAAATTGTTAATTTATGGATTAAAAATAAAATTTAATGTCAAAAATTAGTGTATTTGATACATTTATAACTTTTGATCTTTTTAAATGACATCTTAACATAAACAAATTTGACTAATTTAAGTTTTTTTAACTAGAAATGAGTTAATGATTCTTAGTAAAATTGATTTTTTTAGTCATTAAATTAACTTTTTGGCCATGTACCAAATGATGAGATATTGATGCCATGATATATATTAAATTATATATAGTTAATATAAAATATAATTCATGCAAAAATTAATATTTTAAATAAACTTTAATTCAAAATTTGATTGAATAAATATATATAATTTAGTGCAGTGGAATTTAGTAGCATATTATTGTCTCAAACCTTTTTTTTTCTTTTTTTCTTTTTCAAAAATAACGTTAGTATGTTAGTATACTTAAATTACAACTGAAAGATCCGTCGTTGTCCCATCAGTTCGAACTTTTAACTTTTTACTCACCACACTCTAAGATATGACTACTAAATTATTAGGCCACACCCCAACGTTATATTGTGCCAAACTTAACAACATTAATTTAGTAGATTGACAATTTTTGCAGAAATAATATAATAAATTTTTTCATGTTAAAATTTAACATTTTACTCTCAAATAACAGATAGCACAAATTATTTTTTCGTGCCCACTAGAAATGCTTAACACATTCTCAATTATGAGAAATTATTAGTATTCAGTAAATTTATGTGGTATTGCAATTTGATGACTTTTGATTTAGATGATAAAATATATCACTTACAAATTGTTTTATAAGATAATATGAAATGTGTTAATTGATAAATAATGTGAAATATTGTTTGAGAAGCATCTAATAATTTTTCATCAATTGAGAGAATGACTCATTTCTATACTACTATCTTTCATATTTTTCTATACTTTGTTTTGTAGGTTCCACTCTATTCTCACAATAATAATCCAAATTGTTTATATTGCTAACCTCACAATAAAGACAGTTTATATATAAAAAAAATTAGCTTTATCAGTATTAGTTACATAAATAAATTACACTTTATTTTAAAAATGAATAATAGCTGTGCATTTGAATTTTAACCGTTCATTTTATAAAATAAAATGTAATTCATTCATATATTCATTGATATTCGATAAAATTAATTTTGTGTATAAATGATATTCATTATAAAATTTACTAGATGAACGAAATATAAGCCTATTTTGTAAACAACAAAAACAAGTTATTTAGTAGTTTATTTCTATCGTATCATCTTTTTATTTTTTTATATAATTTTTTATAATAAACAAAATAAATTAACTTATAAATCATAGCCAAGATAACTCCTAAAGGATGGTGACAAGAAAAGAAGTCATTGCGGCTTGCTTAAACCTCGATCGTCCATTTCCAATCCAACAGTGGACAAATGCCAGTGAAGCTTCCCCACAGCCCAAACACGTTCGACATTTAAAGCACGTCTATGTGCGGAAAGTGCCGTTTGAGGTTCAAACTTTCATCCCCTTCCAAGCCCTAACGTTCACGTGAACCATTAACGACCGTCAACCCGTACAAGGGTTTCAAAAGCCATGTGTTGGATGGTTTGAGAATAAATTACAAATTAGCTTGTGAATAGTGAATTGACAAATAACATAATTATAGTTTGAAGCAGTTTTAACTTGTTAGGTGATTAAATAATATTTTAAAATATTTATCAAGTATTTATATAATATATAATACTAATTAATATAATATTATATATATATATATATATATATAAAATATAAATTAATTTTACATAATATTTTATATATATAATTATTAATTTATAATAAATTTTATATTTTAAATATTTTTCACACTCGTATTTACTTTAATATTTTATTAGAGAGATATATATATATTAACTATAATAGAACAATCTTTGAAGATGAATTATAAATTTCAAAATGTAATTAGTGATTAATAGATAGATCAATATAATTTTCAGCAATGCTACAGACCCCCACTGGGGATGACCCCCAGTGACCCCCAGTGCCACGTGTCGGCCTGGGGTTGGTTGAAAACTCAAAAAAAAAAAAAAAAAAAAACCTGTTTTTTTGGACCAATGGGAGGGATATATATATTAACTATAATAGAACAATCTTTGAAAATGAATTATAAATTTCAAAATATAATTAGTGATTAATAGATAGATCAATATAATTTTAATAAATTAAACGGTATTTTACACTGCACTAACCACATGTCATAGACTCCTTTAACGGCACCAAACGGAGACGTCGGCGGCCCTATTCGTTAGATATAAATCTCGCACATTTATAATATCTCTTTTGGCTTTCAACGGGCAATTTTCTGTCTCTCTCTCTCTGAGACGTTTCTTAGGCTTCAAGGTGCTGATGAGCACTCGATGAGCTCGAGTTCGATTCCCGACACTACTCTGCAAGCAGAGGTAGCTTATTTACTTCAAAACAATAACAATTTTATTGTTCTGTTTTCAATAACCGATCTTTTTTTCTTAATTTGACATCTTTTTTCGTTAATTGAACCGTCTCTGATTCGTTTGATTTTGATTGATTTATTTTTTGTACCAAAGCCATGTAATTATTGTAGTAATAAATGCTTCTTTTTTTTTTCTCTCTCTCTCTAATTGTGCTTTGATCTGATTATTAGTTCCAGGATCTGGGTTTAGTTTGATTTAATTGTTGGTGATGGAGATTTAGAACTATTGGTTGTGACTAGGGTTTTTTAATTGTAGGGGTTATACTGGTTAGGTCTTTGTTTATGGAATTCAGCATAGACAAGATTTTACAAAATTTGCTAGTAAAATCCACTTATGAAAAATCTTCTCCATACATATACTTTTGGTTACAATTTATGGGGGTGAATTTTGGTTTTTGGGTATTCAATTTTGATTAGGCTGCTGTTGGGTTTTCGAAGTTGATGGTCAGAAGGAGATGGCTGAAGTGAAAATAGAAGAGCCTTGTCTTGAGAACAAACAATCAACTGTTGCATTGAGCTCTTCTGTTTCTGAAGGTAGTGGCAGTGTTACACTCAAGTCACCAGGAATATGCAGCCCCGCTACTACCTCGCCGTCCCATGGGTACTTTTATTGAGCTTCTATGTTTGTACATTTTTGTTGTAGCTTTTTTAGTATGTTCTTTGAATTCAGCATCAATTCTTTTAATTGAACTTTGGGCACAAGTGCAATTGCATCTGAAATGCTGAATTGCGTTGTTTGGTCCAACTGAACTTTTCTATTAGATATTAATATAATATATTCTTGACTATCGAAATTAATTTACATATGGTGCGATTGGTAGACATCAAAAGTAAGGTTGCGAGCTGGAAGGGGATTTTATTGTGTTTGAGATTCAAATTCATAATAAGCCCAATAATTTTTCGCAAATGGTTGTTATACAAATTATCCTGCAGAATTACATATGCTGGGAAGGGTGAGTAGAGGCCCTCAAACTCAAATGGAAGGTTATATGTTGTTCCATAATTCTGAACCTTCTTATTGAGGTAAATTTTAGTCTTAGGGGAAAGCATAAATGTTTCAACAAATGTTTTAAAATGCATTTGAGCGGAGGAATTCATGGAAGCTACAAACATATTAGGAAGTGATTTGGAACTTGAAATCTAGGGTAAATTACTTTGTGCTCTCTTGTGGTTATTTTGACTCTCTATATTTCAAAATGCAGCACTTACATGGTCTGTGGTATGAATCAACGTGAAATTGTTAGGTTTTTAGCTACAGATAATGGATACACACCATGATTTAATATTTCAACTAAAAAAATTACAACGTCAAAATGATGTTTATATCATTCTAAACTTTCTTATTTCCATTTTTAAATTTTTTTTTTTTTTCTTCTTTCATTTGGACGTTTTAGTTTGATGAGAAAGTATTATTTTTCCTTTCATTTAGATGCTTTTGTTTTCAATCATATTCTCACCAAATTAAAATGTTACAATGGTGTTAAGGCTCTTTTAGAATTTTTTTTTTTTTTTTTTTTTTTTCTTTCCTTTCCATATCTTTGTTTTTTCCTTTTATTTTGGTGTTAAATTTGGTGAGGAAATAATTTTAACCAAAAAACATTCTTTTCTGTGTGTATTTGTTACTTTTATAGAAAAATTAAAAATTTCACCTCTTGGCCTGTATCATAGGGGCTTTAAGTGTCACATTTTAAAATACAGTTAATCAAAGTGAAAATGGACTTAACCACATGGCTGAAAGGTGGTTTACCCTAAAATCTACTTAGACGAGTCGAACTGAAACTGGGCCTAACGACATGGCTCGCAGTTGGTCTCCCCTAAAATCTATCTAGATGTGAAGTAAGTGACATTTAATGATGATTTTTTGTGATCACAATGCGGGTACGAGGATCGGGTGTGGGTGCGTATCTAGGGGTCGGACATTTCAAAATTAAAAATTAAGGATACGTGGATATGTATCCAAATTTAGATACGGGTACGGGGATACGTTATATATATATATATTTTAAATATAGTTATTAAGATGAGTTATATTATATAAATAACAAATAATTATTTTACATATATGTGTTTATTTATTTTTATTAATATATATAAGTATATATTATCTTATAAATATCTTATATGTTATACAATAATTATTATATAATATCTATATAATTTATATAATATCTATTGTATTATATAATTTTTTTTAGATGAGTAATATTACATATTATTATATTAATGTAATTCATACTATATATTATATATTAATGTAAATGTAATATGATTAATAATTTATAAAAATTATTATTATATATGATAAATTATATAAATTATATTATATATATTATATATAAATTATATAAATTATATTATATAAATTATATTATATATATTATATATGATCAATATATATGATCAAATCAGAGGCGAAGAGAGAGAACAGATTGAGAGACGAGAGAGAGAGAGAAGCAGAGACGAGACGAAGACAGAGAGAGAAGCAGAAACGAAGAGAGAGACGAAGACGATCGAGCTCGAGGTCGAGATCGACAGTGATCGAGGCCCTAGACGAAGACGATCGAAGCCCTAGACGAAGACGATCGTGATCAATAGTGAGAGCCCTAATCGTGATCGATGATCGAAGCCAACAGTGACCAGGTTCTCTTCCTTTCTCCTCTTCCATTTCTTTGCTGTCTGTAAAGTGCTCCTCTTCCATTTCTTTGCTGTCTGTGAAGTGCCGTGTCCGAGAGAGACGAGGCGAATCCGACACAGATCTCACACCCGCACCCGTGTCGTGTCGTGTCGACACGGGTACTTCGCCCCAAAGTGACGAGTCCATGTAACATCTCACATCTTAGAACTACCTGGTGATATAAATTAATGGTACATGCTAATAGGTATGGATAGAGGTGGTAACCTAGAGATTGCATCTAATGCACAAGACTCTTGCTTACAATTAGGTTAATGTTTTAAAATTTGAAGATAAGGTTTGAATTTACTTGAGATCCGTTGTAGATGCATTTGTTCAAATTTTCCCAAGTTAAAAATAATTTGCGTAAATGGAGCACATGATCACTATAGCCTGGGTTTACTAGTAATCTCTTTCAAATTTAATAGTGGTACATGGATTTAACATTAGTTGCATGATAAAACTTGTCCCTGATTTGGGTTTTAATGTCAAACCATGTATAAACATGGTAACTGAACTTGTACAAGCCCAGAGTTTAGTGTTTCTAAATTGAGATTTCTTTTATCCTAGTAACTAGATCTCTGAAGCACGGATACTTCAAATAGGGTGATGTATCTGTATCATACCTGTATCGGATACTAATTAGTGTGTTTGGTTTGAGTTTTTTGAATTAAGTTTTTTGAAAACTCAGTTTTTTGGTTTTCGTATTTTTTTGTTTTTAGTGAATATTTTTAAAATTTTAAATATTTGTTTTACTTTTTTAGATGCACCTTACTTAGATGTATCTAAAAAGTAAAAAATTTGTGAAAAAATATTTTAAAATTTTAATAAATACACAAAAATACAAAAAATGTACTGAATTCTCGTATTTTTTTTTTGTATTTTTTGTATTTAGTGAATTTTTAAAAGGATTTTTTCACAAAATTTTATTTTTTAGGTATATTTATGTTAGGTATGTCTAAAAAGTAAAAAAAATTGCTTAAAATATTAAAAAAATTTAGTAAAAACAAAAAAATACGAAAAACAAGAAAGTAGAATTTTCTGAAAAGTGGTTTTGAAAAAACACAACCAAGCATGGTGAATACTCCTTGAATACTCGCGGATATGTATCGGATACTTATTAAAAGTATCGGATACTTCTTAATTATTTTTTCATTAATTTTGGAGTATCGGATACTTAATTTTGAAGTATCGGATACTCCAAGTCATGTTTACTTGTTTTATGAAATTAGAGTTGTAACATTTCTTGCATAGTAATATAATATAATATAATATAATTGCAAGTATAAATATAAGAATATTTTGCTAATACTTTGTTAAGTTCTTTGATAAGAAGAGCATAGTAAGTTAAATAATAGAATTTATCAAATTGATGTATCCTAATTATTTCATGCTTGTCCCTTATAACTACATAGAAAGTAAGAATTAACAAGAGAATATAACAATGGTAAAATTAAATATCAATAAATAAATAAGCAAGTAAACTTGAATACAATATTTTTCACTAGTGTCAAAGGAAAAGGCATAGGGATAATTTGTGAATTGTTCTATTATTGTAATATAAATATATTAAACTCGATATTGAAATGAAATATTTGCAAGACCTATTAAAAATTTAAAAAGTAAACAAGTTACTAGCTTAAATTAATACAAAATTCTTGAAGGTTAGTATTTTGCATTATAAAATTACATTGTGGTTTCTCAACATTCTTTAGTTTATGTGTAACTCACTATTAATAATTTTAAAAAATATATTTTTCACAAACATATCCTAGCCGTACCGGTATCCTATTTTTTTAGATTTTGTCGTATCACCGTATCCGTATCATGTCGTATCCGTATCTCGTATCTATGCTTCCTAGAACTAGATGTATTGATTTTCTCATTGCTTTATTTTTACTACTAGTTGAACATTGTTAAGAATCCTAAGGAATGGAACATGTCTTGGTTACATTTTTTTATTTTGAAAAGCAACAAATTGATTTATTAATTGACAGAAAATTTAAAAAGAGTGCATAAGGGTTTAGGAGGACAAGAAATCCATTAAAAATAAAAATAAAATAGGAAAATGACAAGTCACATACAACATACCAATCTCTAGAAATAAAAAAACAATGTATTGGTTCAAATTTAAATTCACTCAGTATTCTGTTTTGATTCCCCAAGATAAAAACACGAGAATTTACTGGAAATGTTTCTATCATGTTTTGTCAAAAGTGTTGGATGGTACAATTATTAGATATAAGAGAGGATGAAGAAATTATTGTTTTTATTATACACCGAACTTGTAGTCACAAGTGTGCAAAATACGTACACAGCTGAAAACACATAAAATAATAAAGAAAAATAGTGAGGACCTTTGATTATTCATTGATTAAAATTTTAGTATGTTTGAGAATTACATATATGAAATAGTAAGATTAGGATTTGATGTTTGAAGAATGACACCTAGCCAGGTAAAGCTGTTTTCTTCATGAACATGTATGTCCCTGACTACAGAGTTAAATAGTGTTAAGAAGCCAACACAGTTCAAATTAGAAAGGTTCTGGATTAGGAAAGGAGTATTGTAATGTTGCAACTATAACATATATGGGAATTGGAATTTTTGAAGAAGAAAAGAAAACGTGAAGGCCATACTTATTTGAACATAAGGAATCAAATTGCTTATCAAAAGGGCAAAAAAAAAAAAAAAGGGAGACTAGAGTAACGCTACTATATAATGATCACTGAAATTATGATGAAGTGGCTCACATTTTGAAAAATGAAGGCAAGGTCATAATTATTTCATTTTTATTTTTAAAGGATGAAAAACCTAAAAAAATTTATGGTGTAGAAAGTAGAAACCTTAGTGTTTTTTTTTTTTTTTTTTTCCAGTTAACTTTGATATGCACCTTCTATATTGGCAATTGTTAGATTGACTTGTGTAGTGTATTTCAGACTTTCAGTAGTTTTGATATAATATATCTATACATTGTTTCTGTCTTTATTGGTTACCGATTGTGTGATAGTTCCTCAGAAATCATTGCCCTTATTTATCCAAGGGCATATTGCTTAGGCAGGATCTCTGCTCCTTGCCTTTAACGCCACCTTCACTTCACATGGTGCTCTAAACTTAGCAAGTCATATTTATATCTATCATAGATATAGAAAAATGCATGCAAACAATTTAATATACAAACCTATAAATTGACTATGTGTACCTTCTCCTCGCTTTAAACACCACTTCCACTTCACACTTACACATAGTGAACCAATCTCTGTATCTATCATATACATAGATGCATGCATACAATTTAATATACAAGCCTACGTATTCAGATTAGGGAGATACTCCAGCAAGAAAGATATCTTTTATAATCTGACTCTCCCACTTGTACATCTCCTATTACTCTCATCATGCTCCACCAACTAGCAGTTGGCCTATGATAGTTTCTCATAGACAAAGTTTCCAAATTTATTATTTGCCTCAAATGAGAAACTTCAGCTTGGTATGTCGTTTTGGTTGGCTGAAAAATGGAAACATTTTGGAAATGCTATTGTAGTGGAGAAAATTTGGACATGATATTATATATAAAGAAAATCAATTAATGGGTGAAGTCAAGCCAAAAATTGTTTTATTGGACGTGTTTCATGCCACTTCCGTCTACACCGGGGGGTGCTGTTTGGAATTAAAGAAGAAAAGCAAATGTGAACTAGTCATCAAAGTAATGTCAAATAGTTCTTTCAAGTCAATGAACAAGTACAAAAGATTCAATATTGGTTTACTCGTGTGGCATTGGACAATTATGAGTTATAACCAAACAAAGTACCATAGATAGCAAGTGCAGGCTTTTTGAAAAGTCCATTAAGTGCAAATAATATAATAACACGAAGAAGTTATTTCTTTGGCACTAGTACAACTAAAATAATAAACGAAGTGAAATTTCTGCAAGCTATGCTTATGATGATAAACTTTTGTGCAACCTTGGATTTTTCTACTCTTCTCTCTACTTCTTTATTTGCCTGCTATTTCTTAGAGAAATTGGAGATATATTGCTGCATTTTATGGATTATCCGACACATATCCCATACCCTTGTCCGAGTGTCGGGTGTCCGACACGGGTATTTGATTTAATTTGAAGAGTCCATGTAACATAGGTTATAACCAAACAAAGTACCATAGATAGCAAGTGCAGGCTTTTTGAAAAGTCCATTAAGTGCAAATAATATAATAACACGAAGAAGTTATTTCTTTGGCACTAGTACAACTAAAATAATAAACGAAGTGAAATTTCTGCAAGCTATGCTTATGATGATAAACTTTTGTGCAACCTTGGATTTTTCTACTCTTCTCTCTACTTCTTTATTTGCCTGCTATTTCTTAGAGAAATTGGAGATATATTGCTGCATTTTATGGATTTCATCCTTCAATCTCCTTCTTTTTATTATTTGTATAGATTTTATTATTTTATTTTTTTTTTTTTTTTTTTTTTTTTTTTTTTTGGTGTGTGTGTGTGTGTATTGCCACTATCAGTCATTGCAATTTTCGTTAGTACAGATAAACAATGATGACTAATTTGGTATATTTTACTTATTTCCCTGTATGTTTTCTTCAAAACAATTTTTCTTTAAATGAAACTTGTGGTCTTTGCTTTTCCACTTATATTTCAATGCAGTTCATTGTGAAACAACCTATCTCAGCTGTTTTATGGAAGCAAATAAAATTTTATAACCTTTTTTCCCCTGCCATAAATTGGTTTTTGCATAAAATCAATGCCTCTTGTATGGGAAAATGAATATATGGTGGTAAAAATAACTTATGAGTTATGACTATTTAAATTTCTTACAATTCTTGTGAGCATTGTTCTAGCTATTAGAAGTAATAATGTGAACTGATTTTGTAGGAGGACCTCGGGCCCTATTAGGCGTGCAAAGGGGGGTTGGACTCCAGACGAGGTAAGCAGTTTTTCTAACACATAAGCACAGTTGAATTACAGACCAGCTGGAAGCTTATGGTTATGTTTATTCATTTGTAAAGGGTCTGATAATTCCAGTTTAGTTCTTCTGGCATACAATTGGAAAATATGAAATGTGTTTGGTTTATGAAAACTTCTGGTTTTACCTTTCATGTATGTGTGCATCTAATTTTAGAAGCAACACACATTAAAGGTATGCATGCATCTGCCAGCTTTAGAACCATCACAGGTTCTCAAGGTTATTGCTCGCTTGTATTAGTGCTTTTCTTTAATCATTGTTCTCTCTGCTAGATGTTAATTATGTTCTTATTACTATTTTGTGGATCATAGCCTTGATTTAGTAACAACCTGTTCAATTTTCATAGGATGATACACTAAAAAGAGCTGTTGGAGTTTTCAAGGGGAAATGTTGGAAGAAAATAGGTTCCTCTCTTCCCTCTGTGGTTCCTTCAGTAGCTGTTTATTAACTGTTGAATTTACCCTGCCGTGGCTAGTTGTAGTTAAAGCATGCACTTTGATTGGATGTTGTGATTTTACAATTTTTTTATTATTATTATTTTTTTTGTGTTCATGTGCCCCTCTTCATGGACCTTCCTGTCAAAATTCAAAATTTAGCCGATAAAATGAATAACACTTGTATGGGATTGGTCCTATATTAAATACCATTAGAATTTTTATTTTTTCAACAATTATATAGGACCCAATCCCATATAAGTGTAATTCATTTAAGTAACAAGAAGGTTGATGCTATATGATATAGTCTCGACAATTTGCTATAGCAAAATTTTGTTGTGAATAAATTAAGAAACTGAATGTATGCTAGCTATACCATTCCATATGACTGACATCTGTTATGTAGCTGGCACCATTCTAGTGGGACTTGAAGTGACCCTTGGAGAAGAGTTTCACAAACAGTACTGTAGAAACAGAAATGGTGTGGGCAAATCAGTTAAATATCATGCAGAAGCATCTGAAGAGTTGTTAAATTGTTCTAAGTTAATAACTCAACATAATTATTTTGTGAACCTACCTTTAACATTGTCTAAAGTAAGTAAGAAGTTGGGAAGATTAATTTTATCTGAAAGGACTAAAGAGAGTGCTTAAGCTGTTTTATCCCATTTCAAACGTAAGTCGCAAGCGTACACATCAAGTTACTGGCTACCACTGTGAGCACATCAAAAAGTGCAGAGCATAAGATTGTTCTTTGCATTGTTTAAGATCACCAGTGGTCCTTAACCTTTTTATGACTTTTATATTTAGCTATATTCATTTTGTTATCTGAAAAAATTATTAGAGTTTGAGGCATTATAGAGCTAACAATTTAAATTTATCATGAATGTGACATTTAGTTTTTTGCTGAGACAATTATCGTTTCAAATTTATGATTTGTACTGGAAGGTGGGCTTATACTAAATATTGATTTCTGTGCAGCTGAATTCTTTCCTGATAGATCAGAAGTCCAATGTCTACATCGATGGCAGAAGGTTCTCAATCCTGAACTTGTTAAGGGGCCTTGGACACAGGAGGTTGGCACCTCGCTTCTTCCTCTCTTTCATGACATCTGCTTTTCCACTGGTTTTGCAGTTGTCTGAAACATTTTAATTTTGAGAAATAATTTTAAAAATGTTTGCTTGCTGTTTTGTTCATAGGAGGACGATAAAATCATTGAACTGGTATCAAAATATGGGCCTACAAAATGGTCTGTCATAGCAAAGTCTTTGCGAGGCCGTATTGGGAAACAATGCCGTGAGAGGTAATATTATGTGCAATAATTATCATTATTTGCATCCAATTTATTGTAATTAATTGTAGTTTAAGTATGGTGGCAGAACTCTTGAACATTGTATATTTTCAGATGGCACAATCATCTTAATCCATGTATAAAAAAGGATGCTTGGACGGTGGAGGAGGAACTAGCTCTCATGAAAGCCCATCATAGACATGGGAACAAATGGGCTGAAATAGCTAAGGTTCTACCTGGAAGGTAAATCATCTACTATACATTGTTTAGACCATATAGAAATCACTATCTTCAGAACTTGGAGAGACATGCTGTCTGGCTCTCAGTTAGCTGGCTTCTGTTTCTTAGGGGATCTCTTGCAAAAAGAAAAAAATAGTTCAAGAACTTCTAATGTCGTAGAGTTCTAAAGCCTATATTTGTTTGAACAATAGGAATACAATAACAAATAGATTTTGAGGAAAGTTCTCTATGCGTTTGGTGACTTTGGTACGCAATAGGACTGACTTCAAAATATAAACTTACTGTTTTCTTGACAATTGCCGATAACCAAAAAATTGAATGAAGTGCAAACTTACTCCCTATTCACCTTGATCTTTTGCATGCGCTAGTTTCTCGCAACCAAGCATCCAATACCCATTAATTGTGTCCCATGTTGCATTTGAATATCTTTCCTATACTATGACATGGAATTTTAATACACTTTACTATCACACCAACCTAATCTAATTTAGTTTTCTACATATGTGGAGTAACATACTATTATTATGCTTTGATTAACAAAGAGGACATTTATAGATTGTGACTTGGCATGATGGCAAGTGCTATCCACTTTTAGCCTTGTGGTGTGGGTTCAAGTTATGGGAATTAGCCTTTCCACAAAAAATGGGGGAAGGCGGCCCACCTACTACCTCTCACAGATCCTGCTATAAGCTGGAGCCTTGTGCACTGGATACAACCTTTTATTAATGTTGTAAGCAGGAGATTTGTGCGTTGGTACAACCTTTAAATAAAGACAACATTTGGATGTATAATGGGGATGTAATGATATCATTCTACATCATTTGACCAATCTAATTAATCATACTCTTAACATGAGGGATAGTACAGTAATGATCTGCTTTAATTGTGAAGAAGACATGCCTATGGATATTCCATGAAAATTAAATCATTTTATTTTGTTTTCAATAGTTTTAGAAGACACTAAACATCATTGAAAACATGGTCCTCACAATGAAATTGAAGTCTTAATAGGCAATTTAGAAGATGGGAAGGATAACAAAAGGCCATCTTTGGCTTGCCTCGACTTCAACTAAAGAAGCAGGAGAGCACTGAATTCGTTTGGAAAGCCTTGTGAAGTGGCATGACAGATTATCTTGCGCAACCCTTGCTCATGACAAATTTTGTTTATGCAGGACTGATAATGCAATCAAGAATCATTGGAATAGTTCCTTAAAGAAGAAGTTAGATTTCTACTTGACTACCGGGAACCTTCCACCAGTTGCAAAAAATGCGATTCAAAATGGTGTGAAAGACACAAATAGAACTGCTCCAACTGGAATTCTGCTTGAATGTACAAATAAAGGATCAGAGTCAACTACCCAGACTTCATCAGGAACTACAGATGTTTGTAAAATAGAAGATGATAGCAAAGATCCAGAGTCTTTAACCCCATTTCAAGATATGGGTGCTTCCTCAAGTGTTCCCGCAAATGAATCTGTTGATTCTGAAGTCGTAAAATGCTACCCAAAGTCATCAGATATAGATCTTAGAAGTAGTTATTCAAATTTAGTGCAAAAGTTTGAGAGGTGTAGAACTAATGATGATATTTATCAAGACACACCACAATTAGAAATTCCAACATATGGTTCATTGCACTATCAGCCACCACAATTAGAAAGTTTTGTACCATTAGATTCAGATCTTCTGAATATGTCATGGATGCAGCAAGAGTCTTACTCTAGTCCAATTACATCGCCTGTTAACTTCTTCACTCCACCTCGTGTGAAGGGTTATTTCTTTAGCCAGAGTCCGGAATCCATATTGAAAATTGCCGCCAAGAGTTTTCCCAATACTCCTTCCATATTACGGAAGAGAAAGACTCAAGAAACACCTCTGCCATCAAATAAACTTGGGAAGGCTGATGGGGAAGTAATTCAAGACGGAGTTCATACTTCTGATGGACAAGAGCAAACAACAAATACATCTGGGTTGCAAGATGGAAGTTTGCATGGAAGTCCTGCTTATCTTGGTAATGGCATCACTGAGTTATTTAATGGCAAGGCATTTAATGCATCTCCACCTTATCGGTTAAGATCCAAACGAACAGTTGTTTTCAAGTCTGTGGAAAAGCAACTTGAGTTTGACTTTGACAAAGAGCACCAAGATGGTGATAACAAATCTGTGGATTCAATTGTGAAAGGAAATCCTCCTGTAACTGAAGATTGTTCCTCTTGAACATTAAACCGTAAGTGCATTCTTGATGTTACTTTTGTTGGTTGGAGTAGCTTCTTTATGCATTTCCTCTGATCTCATGACTTTGATTTCTGCTCTATGTTGATTTGCATGAGAACTAAAGTAGGAAATTATTGTCTGATTTGTCCAACCAAAGTTAGCAATTTTAGTACTAAGTTTGTTTGATGATATCTTTTAATTGCTGAGTCAAAAAATGAATAACTGTTGTAACATTTGGGTCAGTAAGTTGTCTTGATTTTATATTCTTAATCATGTCTGATCATAAATATGTTTGCACATAAACACATGGACACATGTTGAAGTTCACTTAATTCAGTGTGAGCAGGGTTTTTTTAAAGAGCAGAGTTTGGTCTTGTAACCCCAAATAGAACCACAAGATGATTTTTTATGGTGCTCATGGAGAATTTTGATAAAATTTGAATGGTAAACAATTATTTTCATCTTTGTGATAAAAAAAAAAAAAGACTAATCATTTTATGTCTTATTGCCTTGTATTGGACTACCAAAGAGATGTAACAAAGTGGCCTAAGTAAATCAATCTTAATCTAAGGTTCAATTTTAGATCTATGTATGTCGCATTCCTGTTATCAACCTTGACCAAATAATCCTTAATGTTATAGGTCTTATTTATTTATTTATTTATTATCAGAAATGTTATAGGTCTTCTGATGCTGATAAAATTGTTCAATTGATTTAGGCTGTGTTTGGATCATTGATTTGGGTAGGCATTTGGAAAGGGAAAGGGAAAGGGAAAATGTGTGAAATGTAGTTATATTTCATTCAAATTTCACCAAGATTTCCCTTTTCCTTTTCTAAATTCCTACCCAAATTCATGATCCAAACACAGCCTTAGTGTTCTCCATTTTAGTGTACTTTGATTTTTGTTAAGTAGGCATTTCATTAATATATATGGGATTTTGTTAACAAGTGCCTAAGAGAAATTTGTTAAGAAGCTTGAAATGGTTGTAGGTTCTTTATTATAGCTCATGTCCTAGAGAATGTTTAACTATTTAGGCTTTGTTAACCAATGTCCTTACTACATTCGTTAACAAGGCCCATGTAGTTTTTAACAAGGCCCATGTAGTTTTTTTTATCTCTAATAAAATGGGTCATACACAGGACTCGCATCTAGGAGAAGAATTAGGTAGACAGCCTTCCCCCAACTCTCACTTTTTGTAGAGAACCTGATTCCTGTGAAGAATATAAAATCTTTTGAATTTTACGGCATTAATTGCCATTTGGAATTTGGAAGGAGTAGTCCCTGTAGGGCAACAATAAAGCAAAGAGCAAGGAGTAGTCCCATCTTGTATACTGCTTCTGGTAATTAATATTTTGATGTTTTAATACATAGATATCATCTTCTTGATTCATTTTAACAACTGATTGGACTTCAACACAATCATGTTTTATTTTAGTGTTTTAATACATACATATATATATATATATGTATCATCTTCTTGATTCATTTTAACAGAGTGGACGTCAATAGAGTCATGTTTTACCCTGAATGTTTGTTAGAGTTCATATAGCCCAAAGCATTAATAAATAAATCTGTAAGCGCTTACATTTTCTTTTTCACCTTGTTTTTATTTTTATTTTTATTTTTTTGCAATAAAGCCATTTATTTTTTCTATTGGTTTATTAAAGAGCTAAGACATGCATTTTTCCCATGATTTTAATTGATTGCTTTAATTAATTAATGGATTGTTTATTTATACATTTATTATTTTGATTTAGGATGATGGTTGGAGATACACCTTGAAGTTGGCTAGGTTCTGTTGAGAAGCAGCTTAATGTCCGTACATACTCTTGTCATCTGTGTATGTGAAGAATAAGGATGGATAGTCCCATTTAACTTGTGAAAGGAAATTCAAATTACAGCAGGTCTGTACAGAAACCCCCATCAAGAGGTGAAGGAGGGCTTCAGAAAACATCTCGATTGAAAGTATAATTCTTTTTCTAATTACCTTTGTTTAATTGTCTTCTCACCAAGTTCATGATCATAATTAAACAGCTAATTTTAGCCGAAATTACCTGCATATTTATTTAACAAACTTGGGGAGATTTTGCTTCATATTAATAATATTCTGTGTTGGTGGCTGATTGCTAAAAGGACTTGGAGGTTTTGCTGTTGAAGGTCTTATCAATCTCTTTCGGTATTGTGATTTTTCTCTGGCAGTGAATGCAAAATTTATTATTTTCTTCTTCAGTGACCACTGCTTTTCTCTGATTAATCCTCAATAATTTATACTGCAACTGATTTGAATGTTTTGGAGATGCCAAAGTACTAATTTGTGCACATGATTTGATCCTTTTATCTGAAGGTAACTGGATTCTGGTAAGTTCTGGATGTTAGTGCTAAGAACTTTCATAGTTTGAAGAATCTTCGGTCTGTTCCACCCACTGCTAGCGCTTGGTTGTGAAAGTTTTCCTTTTTTATACTTGGTTTCTTAGTTAATCCAATCATTTTTGTTGGGAAAAACCATTCCATGAACTGTTGTTTCAGGTATTTTAGCTTTGGTAAGTGTTGGGTCACCAACAAAAATCAGACAGGCCCCAACCTCCAAAAAGACAAAAACTAGTGACAAGCTGGAGCAAATAGTGAGAATAAATAAATAAAACAAAAAAGTACCCATCAATTTGGCATTGATGTTTTTGTTTTCATTGCATGGCTGCAATCTATAACTGGTTCAAATAGTTTATAGATCATAAGATTTAGAATGAGGTATATTGGAAAATCACATAGGAGGATTTTATTCATGTTTTCATTGACAAAAAATGAGAGGTCGACTTGAAGGGAACGACAATTGGGAAAAAATGGGTTATTCAACCAACCTGTCCCCTCTTTCTTGCTCTCTCTAGGAAAGAATTGGTCTCGAAAACAGCTAATAGATTCTCTTGTCGTCGTGAAGCAATAATGTCATCAGTATCATGCAAATCACAATCTGAAGAGGAAAGGGTTGCGGGAAGAAATGCATAAAGGAGACGAACGCGTAAAGGAGTGGCTAGCAGCATTGGGAAAGAGACTACCGGCACCGGGAGGATAGGAAAGGGATTGGGCAACAATGGGTAAGTTAGGGTTGCAATGAAGGGAGGGGGAAGATGGATTAGACAAATAAGTGTATTTTGGTAATTTTATAATTTCTCTCATTGTTCTATGATCATCTTACTAGTTTTCATTCTCTTGCAATTATTTTCTAATTCCTCTAGTTTTTATAATTATTTTTTTGTTCTTTACATTTATTTAAAATTTCCCCCTTAATTTATACATTAACTTATAAGGAAGCAAACTCAATCCAACATACTGTCTTGGTCATATGTATATTATGTTGAGTTTTAAGTATAAGATCCAATTAGGCTTAACATTAGTAAACATAATGATAACAAACAAGTTGTATTATCAAATTACAACTGTGAAAACATAGCTTACTATATTTTCTGTGGTCAAAATCACCAAAATTTGAAGTTGATTATAGATAGATTTGTTTGACAAAAAAAAAAAAAAAAAATAGAACTCAAGTAATGAATTAGTAGTGCTAAAAAAATTTATAATTTGTAATTAGTAGAACTTAGTTTTTTTTTATTCAAACAAAATAAGGATTAATTTTTCATTAAGATTTAATGTAAATTTCACATTCAACTAAAAGTTTTGGAAAGCATTCAGTGGCACACTTCTCTCTAACCTAAATACATCTCTTATATTAAGCATTTGAATCTTTTTCAAGTGAATTTTCATTTTAAAAGTGATAATTATTATAACAGAAAATTCACTTAAATTACACAGAAATTATAACTTAATATAGCAAAATATAAACGCAAGAGCACTCCTTTTGAATGTTCATATTCATATATAACATTTCCTTTTGCAAAATTATATCAATCAACTTTTAAAATTTTCATTTAACAACATATAGAAGATTATAATTCTATATAAATCTTATTGAAAGTATAAAGTTTAAACATAAATAATAAATTACTTACGCCTTTATAGAAAATATTTATGATTAAATTTATTATTTTTATTTCACATATAGTACGGGCTCACTAAACACAAGAAATAAAAGTGAGTAGGAGTTATTTTAGAAAAATTTTATGATTAAATTTATTATTTTTATTTCACATATAGTACAGGCTCACTGCTAATAAAGAAAAATAAGAAATAAAAGTGAACAAGAGTTGTTTTAGAGAAAGAAATGAAGAGATACTAAAATGAGAAATTGTTTCATAATTAAACCACCTTTTCACTAAATCCACTGTTAGATTTCAAGCTTACTTTTATGCCTTTTATGTTTGCCACCTAGATCAACCAAAGATCGAAAATCAAGTCAACCATACACTTGCATTTTTATATATAATAACTCCAATTTTGAAAGCTATATGAATTAGATAGCTCTCAATCTTTGATTGACTTTAACATTTGACAAATATGGAGTACCATAAAATTCAATAATAAAATTTAAGAAACGTGTGACAAAAGTTGTCACACCATGTCTAACCAAATCCTCCACTTGATGGTGTATTATATAACAATATCTTATTACATAGTGTTATATGTATCAATTGGTATATTAATTAATATATTAATAGATAATCTGACATAATTTTAAAAGTTTTAAGTATTTATAATTTGTATAATAAGTGGAGTTATAATTTTAAAGTGATAATATCATAACATATATTAATACACTAATTAATATATCAATTGATATATGTAATGCTACCATATCTTATTTGAACAATATGTGATGGTTGTCATTTTAATAATGTTAAAAGTCATAACTTGGCAAGTTATATTATCCTCAATGGTAAACTATGGCAATGTTATTCTAGTTGTTATGATTTTGACACAATCAATTAATACTCTCTTTTTATCCACCCTCTTTAATCATAGTTGAATCAGATAAACAAATATAATCTTTTTCACCCAAATTCTTATTCTCTATACAAAAATACTAGAGATTCCTAATATTTTAGGTTTGAATTACACTAACACCCTTCTATACTTCTAAATTAAATTGTCACCCCTTTTATTCTTGGAAATCACATTGACACCCCCTGTAAGATAACAACCATTAATATATTACCCTTATCTAAGTACATGCAAATAAATAAATAAATCTTTTTCCTCTCTCCCCTTTCTCTCTCTTACACTTTTGTTCTCATCTGGGCATGTCCAACTAGCCTCACCATCTTCAACTAGCATCATCATTGCAAGTATTAGAACAACCATGAGCATAGCAACCCATCAGAAGGGGCCTTTGTTAGCCCCACCTCCATCACCATCCCCCTTACCCTAGTGCGATCGCTGCCATAACCCCACTTGCCCCTTCTCTCTCCCCCCATCTTACAAGTTTTCATTCTCTTGCAATTATTTTCTAATTCCTCTAGTTTTTGTGATTACCACCACTGCCACCCCATTCTTCCCTTCCACTGCAATCAGTGCCTTAGCCCCCAACGAGTCCTTTATTGCAAGGTGCACTGGATTATTTTATGCCACTAAATATGACGAAACTATGAAGCAAAATAGGACAAAAAATTCCAATGATGGTCAAGAGAAGTTCCGAATTCTAGCTAAATGTGAGTCTTCATTAAATTGAACCCCCAATCAGATTTAAGTGACATCCATGAAAATAGAAAAAAGAGGGTTCTGAATTCTATTTGTGTTTTTTCTTTTGTTTTATGATTTTTTTTACCATGTTTTCTCCAGGAAAGATTGTCTTCTCAGGATTTTCAAACCCAATCCACCATCCAAACATCCACCCCACAAACCCATCCATGTTTAAACCAACAGGTTTTGATTTTGGTTTTTCTTTCATAAAAAAATATAAAATATAAATAAAATAGATTTTGTGGGGACATAATTTTTGAATGACAACACGTGGCCGAGATGGTACCGAAGTGCCAGCCGAGGTGCCACGTGTTCTGATCATGACGCCGAGATAATTTCAGCTAAGCCGAGGTTATCTACGAAGATACCGGAATCTGGAATAAGCAAATAAGGGACAAGAGTCCTAGAATGAGAGAGGACTTCAGTTTGGATAAAAATAAAACTTTTAGAGAGTTTATCCCAATCTAACTGGGAGTCCAAGATTAGCATTGAGTCAAAGTCCATTGAAGCTAGGCTTCTATTGGGATTAGGTCAGTATTGGCTATAAAAGAGAGGCACCCTCATGGGGTCTAAGGTACACTTTTTGTATTCCGAATAGTGAGTTAAGCACTTTTGCTATCTTTGAGAGATAACTGACCTGATCGTCGGAGTGCCCCTAGGTGGACAAACTACCGCTGGAATCTCTTCTTTCTGTGACAGATCGTTCGGGCTTAATCTATTCTACCGGTGTTCTCCAGCTAACAGAAAGAGAAGGTTGGGGACGACATCCTTACTGAGAGTGGTAAGCACTTTGATCCCAACGTAGAGGAGGATAATTACAATGAAGAAACTCAGGATCAGAATCCCGGAGAGAAAGACGTCGGCCAGGAGGGCGACATACCAAAGAAATCAGATCGAAGCAGGTATTACAACGAGGACGACCTCCAGGTATAGAAAGATAGATGCCTACGGAGGGACGGCGAGATGAAGGAAATGGCAAAAAAATTGGCGAACCTGCAAACGGTTGTCAATTTCATGATGCAGAACAACGTCATGTAGTCACCGTTCCCATTACAAGATACGCCGATTCCAGTGTCCAAGAAAGATGCCCGAAAAGTAGGGCAGAAAACAGTTCCAATAGTCCCATAGCACGACAGGACCAAGGGACATTCTCACCGGCATTCACAAGAGGACAGGCATGGGGAATCAATGAGAAGAGAATCCCAGAAGACACGTCGAACCAAAGAAGCCTGCACCAAAGAACGTCGGGATGTTCAAGGAAAGGAACTCTGTTTCGACACGACCAATGGAGGGAGGTCCAAAATGACTCATAATGACACTAGAAGTAGCGCACCGAAGAGGCTGAAATCCGGTGATAGCTGAGCTCCTGGACGGACTAAGGAGGATCTGAGGGATTACCTCCAGATGAAGCGACAGGATGCCGAGGTAACCTCTCCGGTCAAGCCGAGAACGCCGTTCTCTGTAGAGTTGGACAAATTTGAGGCCTCGAAAAGGTTCCACATGCCAAGATTCCAAATATATGACGATAAGTTGGACCCCAACTTTCACGTCAGCTTGTACTTGAACTCAATGGCACTATACACCGGGAACGAGCCGTTGCTTTGCAAGGTGTTCCCCTCGTCATTCGGGGAAATTGCATCGGACTGGTTTCACAAGTTGCCGAAAGAAACTGTGAAAAGCTGGGAAGGCCTGGCTGAGATGTTCGTGGTCAGGTTTGTGATAAACAAACTACAACCATTAAGGGTGGACTCCCTGATGGCTCTGAGAATCAGTGAGGATGAAAGCCTTAAGGCCTATGCCAAGAGGTACTATGAGGTATTCAACCAAATACCAGGGTGCAACCAAGAGGTGGCGGTCGTGTCTTTCAAGAACGACCTGAACAGCGATTGTCTGCTTCAAAAATCATTGGCAAAGACACTATTAAAAAGTATATAGGAACTCATGGCCAGAATTGAGAAATATGCGAGGGTCGAGGAAGACACGCCGAGGACAAAGGCGTCGAAACAAGAGAAGAGAAACGGCTCGCCGAAGCGAGGCTAAGGTAACATTGGGTACAGCAAGCAAGAGACAGGATTAAGGGTTGCGCAGGTAGTCACAACCGTATTCTGAATCCCGGTTTACAAAGTCTTGGAGAAAATCCGAAATCAGCCCTATTACAGAGCACCAGCAAGGGTTCCAGGCGAATTTATGGGAAGAAGCCTTGGCAAGCACTATGCTTACCACAATAAAGATAGGCATCTGACTCAGTGGTGCAGAGCCCTGAAGGCACATCTGGAAGACTTGGTAAGACAAG